CCTCCTCTGCTCCAGTGAAAAATGACCCAGCCTATCTAGCCTGTCTTTATAGCCAACATCTTGGTAAATCTTTTCTGAACCGTCTCCAATTTAATAACATCCCTCTATCCTTCGGGTGACCAGAACTGGACATAGTACTCCAGAAGAAGCCTCACCAAATCCTACACAACCTCGTACAACCTCAACATGACGTCCCAACTCCATACTCAAAGATCTGAGCAATGAAGGCAAGCATGTTAAATGGGCTCTTAACCGCCCTGTCTACATGTTTTTACACTGTCTCCAATTTCACAATTTTCCTGTAATGTGGCATCAACAGCTTTCATAATTCTACAGTGGAGATCCAATAAGAATCTTATTGACGTTCAACATCACTTCTTTGCTCTGGTATTCTAAGTCCCTATCAATAAAGCCGAGCATACTGCATGCCTTATTAACTGCTCTCTCGACTTGCCTGGTTACCTTTAATAATCTACGCACATATACACCCAGGTGCCTCTGATCATGCACTCCGTTTAGAACTATTTTATAGGTTCTTTCAATTTTCTTCCTAAAATGCATCAGCTCATGCTTCTCTGCTTCTCTTGAACTTTGTCTGCCATCTCCATCAATTTGTCAATTTCCTTTTGGAGCTCGACACCATCCTCACAAATTACAATTCTTCCAAACTTTGGAATTGTCCCCTGCACACCCAAATCATTAATATACATCAGAAAACGCTACTGAGAGTTGAAAGAAATTGCTAGGTTTGCACAGTGGATATAAATTAAACTTGACACAGAAAATTAGGGCCAGTACTTAATGGTACAAGAACCTCACATATTACGAGACTTCTCTGTTCTCAACCACTCCAGCCCAGAAAAGGAACAACTGAAACCACGGACTCACAGGTAGTGAAACGTTCTTGCATAGGTTTAAAATGTAACTATTTTTCTTACTTTTCCATAGTGTCTTCTTTCTCTCTTAATCTGTTCTTCCTTTCCATGTCTTTATTGCTCTTTGTGTCTATATTGAATCTGTTAGGTAGTTGAGCAGATAGTTTCCTGGCCTCATCATTCATCGAGTTTCCAGATGCTCTCCTAAGCCTCACCACACCATCATCAATTCGCAATCTGTTACAAAATTTACTCCCAGTGTGAGGGTATCGCTGGTTAGGCTAGCATTTGTTGCCCATCCCAGAGGGCAGTTAGGGGTCAACCACATTGCTGTGGGTCTGGTATCACATGTAGTCCAGACCAGGTAAAGATGGCAGTTTCCTTCCCTAAATGCATTAGTGAACCAGGTTTTTCCCGACAATTGACAATGGTTTCATGGTCATTAGACTCTTAATTACAGATATTTACTGAATTCAAATTCCACCATCTGCCACGGCATGATTCAAACGCTGGTCCCCATACAATTACCTCGGTCTCTGGTTTAACAGTCTAGTAGTAATACTACTAAGCCATCCCAAACTGTAGCACCTAAAGCCAACAGTTCTTTTTTCAGATATAGTACGAGGTGGAATTAAAACCAACAAACACAACACCATAGGATATCCTGCTCAAACAATTTTTGGGTAACATCTGTGGGACCAGAAATGTCAGTTATTTCTTCAAAAGTAGCAAACTTCAACCATTCATTGCAGGATAATGGAGTGTCTCTCTCTAATCTGGACAATGCAGAGAGTTTTGGGTTTTTCAACTCTGCCCAAAGGATTTGTTGGACTCTCTTCAGGTCTTTGATGATGATCTCATCCCTCCTATGTTCAAGAACACTCATTGGTTTGTTTAATGCTTAACTTGAGTAAACACTGACTAGCACTTGAAATGCAAGCTATCAGAAATCAAACAAATCCCAAGCCTTTAAATCATCTGCCTTTCAAAACTGTCTTTACTGTTACTTTGCTAAATGGAGTTTGTGTACAGACATTGATCGACACTTACATGGATCAATATTTGTTGGAAAGATGTTAAATTGCTGTTAAATAAAGACATGGGGTCAATTCATCTCCTGTTGCCTAGTTTCTGTCAGAGCTATTGGGGATGGGGAGGGGAGGAACGGGGCGGGTAGCACTAAAAACGGGCCTAATTCAACCAGTATTATTTTAAAAGTGGTGAGTATATCCACCTGAAGCTGGTAGAGATCTCTTTAAATATGTTGACTGGGTTTGCTGATGTCTTTAGTTCCCCCAGTCTGCTTTTTAATGTAAGGTGTTAGAATAGGTGAAGCGTGCTTATTGTCACCTGTGGAATGGTACAAGGTTTACTTTGCCACACTAGATTTAAAGTCAGAGTTAAATTCTCATCCAAAAATTCACATTGAAATAGCCCTGAATGTAGAATATATTACCACATGAGTAACTGAGATGCATAACAGATGCATTTCAGGGGAAACTGGATCAACACAAGAGGGATCAAGGAGCACAAAGGTACACTAATAAGGTAGGATGAAGGAGGGTGAGAGGAGACGTATGTGAAGCAGAACCAACAGTTCAGACATAGCTGGACTGAATGGTCTGCTTCTATGCTAGAAACCGAACGTAATCCTCTACCTTCTGTTTCCCCTCATTCAGGGCTTCACTGGTTAGGCCAGCATTTATTGCCTATCCTGGAATACCATGAGATGACGATCCATCTTGGCCTCGTCCAGAGGTCCCCAGCATCTCAGATACCAGTCTTCAGACAGTTCTATGTGAGATCAAGATATGCTGAAGGTGCTGGATACTGCGAAGGCCCTGATAATATTCTGGCAATACTAGAATAATAGTGATACCAGCATAGAAACAGGTCCTTTGGCCCACCATGATTATGCAGACCAACAGATACCAAAATGCATTAATCCCATTTACCTTCACATGATCCACAGCCTACAATGCCCTGATATTTTAAGTGCCCATCCAGGTACTTCATAAATATTGCAAGAGTATCTGCCTCCAACACCCTCTTGGACAGCACGTTCTATATTTCTACCAAAGCCATTTACTCCTCATTTGTGGTCTTAGCCATGTCTGCCATGGTGAAAAGACTCTTATGATTTACCCTGTTTATGCCTCTCACAATTTTGTATACCTCAATAAGACCTCCCCTCACCCTCCTGTGCTCCAAGGAAAACAAACCCAGCCTATCCGGTCTCTTAGATAACAAGGTGTAGAGCTGGATGAACACAGCAGGCCAAGCAGCATCAGAGGAGCAGGAAGGCTGACGTTTCGGGCCTGGACCCTTCTTCAGAAAATCCAGCATCTGCAGTTCCTACTATCTCTATCCCGTCTCTTCTCATATTTGAGTCTTTTCAATCCAGGGATCTTCAGAGATCTATGAACCTAAACACCAAGATCCTTTGGTTCTTCAGTGCTCCCTAGGGACCTACCATTTATTGTGTACATCTTTCCTTTATTAGACCTCCCAAAATGCATCACCTCGTCCTTATCAGGATTAAATTCATGTCCCATTGCTCTACCCAATTTACCCACTGATCTATATCAGACTGTAGTGTGAGACCAATCTTTTCACTATCAACCACACTTCCAATTTTTATATGATCTGCACGTTTACTAATTATACTATCTATATTCAAATCCAAGTCATTAACATACATATCAAACAACAAGAATCCCAGTAACAATTCCTATGGTACATCGCTGGTTACAGGCTTCCAATCACAAAAACATCACTCCGCCATTACTGCTATTTGTAAACTAATTTTGGATCCAGTTTGCCAACTTGCCTTGGCCACAAGTATTGAAGACTTGTGCTCCAGAATTTGGTGTTGTTCCGCTGTTCCAATATAGCTACAACACTGACATTGATCTGACAATGTGAAAAATTGCCTAGGTATGTCCTGTTCATTAAAAGCAGGACAATCTATTTCAGATTTGGCCAATTACCACCCACTTGTCTATTCTTGATCATCAGTAAAGTGATGGAAGGTGCCATCAACAGTATTTTCAAGCAGATGCTGCTCAGCAATAATCTGCTTACTGATGCCTAGTTTGGGTTCTGCCAGGGCCACTCAGCTCCTGACCTCATTACAGCTTTAGTTGAAACATGGACAAAAGAGCTGAATTCCAGAGGTGAGGTGAGAGTTGCAGCACTTGACATAAAGGCTCCATTTGACTGAAGTCAGTGGGTATCAGGGGGAAAACTCTCTGCTGGTTGGAGTCACTTCAACAGAAAGGATGATGATTCTGGTTATTGGAGGTCAGTTATTTCAACTCCGGGACTTCTTAGAAGTCCCTTAGGGTAGTGTCCTAGGTCCAAGCACCTTCAGCTGCATTATCAATGACCTCCCCTCCATCATAAGGTCAGAAGTGGGGATTCTCACCGATGATTGATCAGCACCATTCATGACTCCTCCGATACTGAAGCAGCCCATGTTCAAATGCGACAAGATCTGGACAATATCCAGTCTTGGTTGACAAGTAACAAGTAACATATGTGCCACACAAATACTAGGTATTTACCATCTTCAACAAGGGAAAATCTAACTACCACCCCTGATATTCGATAACATTGCAATCACAGAAGCCCCCACTATTGGGGTTACCATTGACCAGGAACAAAACTGGACTAGCCATATAAACAGAGTGGCTACAACAGCAGGTCACAAGCTAGGAATATGGCAGTGAATAAAGCATCTCCTGACTCCCCAACACGTATCCATAATCTACAAGGCACATGGCAGGAATGTGATGGAATAACCCCATTTGCCTGGACTGAGTGCAGTCCCAACAGAACTGAAGAAGCTTGACACCATCCCGGACAAAGTAGTCTGCTTGATTGCCACCATAGTTACAAAACTTTACTCTTTCCACCAGCGACGCACAACAACAGCAGTGTGCACCATCTACAAGCTGAAATTCACCAAAACTGAGAGTCTATGAGCGGGTTATTGCTAAGCAAGTGCTGTGTGAGGACACTGTTGAATTCCCCTTCCATCACTTTACTACTGGTCAAGGATAGACTGCTGGGGCAATAATTAGCCAGATTGCGTTTGTCCAGCTTTGTGTGCCCTGGACATACCTGGGCAATTTTCTACATCTGAATAAAGGCAAATACTGGAAATCTGAACTGGACTCAGAAGGTTGGAGGAACCCAACAGGTCTGGCAGAATCTGTGGAAAGAGAAACAGAATCAACATTTTGAGATGGTTTGGCTTCTTCAGAACAGAAAAGTAGTGGGAAATAGGTTCTTTTTTATACTTTTGACAGAGGCATCAGAGGAGCAAGAGGGCAGATGGTATAGAAGCCCAATGCAAAAGACATAAAAGGTGTGAAAGGGAGAGAATTAGTTTGTGTTCCTCAGTGCAAAGTAAACAAGATACAAACATGACACAGCTGTGGGAAAAGGTGGGGAAGGAACGTGAGAAAAATTGGGGCAGACATAAAGCAGTCAGTTTCTAAAATTACTGAATCCTAATTGGGCTCAAAACATAAAGGATGGAACTTGAATTGGAATACATGTAGAATGAGGTAGAGAATGAGCCTGTATATGATATACTCTCTTGCTCCTCCTCTGACTTTGTCAAGAACCTATTATCCAACACCTTCCATCTCTGATGAAGAGTCATACCAAACTTGAAATGTTAACTCTGCCCCTCTCTCCACAGATGCTGCCAGACCTGCTGAATTTCTCCAGCGTTCTCTGTGCTTGTTTCAATTTTCCACATTGTTGGGTAGATGCCAGAAGCTTTACTGGAACAACCTAGCCAGGGGTAATGGAAAGTTTTGGAGGACAAGACTTCAGGACTGTTGCCAGGATGTTGTCAGAGCCAATAGCCTTTGCAGTATCCAGTGCCTCCAATCATTTCTTGATATCACATGAAGTGAATCAAATTGGCTGAAGACTAGTGTCTGTGATACTGCGAATCACTGGAGGAGGCTGAGATGGATCATCAATTTGGCAATTCTGGCTGATGATTGCGGTGAATGCTTCAGCCTTATCTCTTGCACTCATGTGCTGGGCTCTTCCATCATTGAGGATGGGGATATTTGTGCAGCCTCCTTCTCCAGTGAGGCGTTTAATTAACAACTAGCATTCACAATTGGATATGGCAAGACTTTACAGCACAGATGTGATCCATTGGTTGTGAAATAGCTTAGCCCTGGCTATCACTAGCTGCTTATGGTACGTAGCACGCAGGTAACCCTGTGTTTAGCTTCAACAGGCTGACACCTCAAAATTGGATATGCCTGGTCTTGCTCCTGGCCTGCCCTTATGCACTCTTCATTGAACAGGTGATCTTCTGACTTCATGATAACAATAGAGTGGGGGGAAAAGTCAGGCCACGAGATTGCAGATTGTGTTTGAATTATGATTTTGCAGTTGCTGATGGCCTGCAGAACCTCATGAATGTCCAGTCTTGAGGTGCTTCATCTCTTTGAAACCTATCCAGTTTAGCACGGTGATCAAGCCACAGAACATGTTGTGGAGGGGTATCCTCAATGTGAAGACAGGACGTTTTCTCCACAAGAACTGTGTGGTCATCGCTCTTACAAGTACTATTGTTATGGACCAGATCAAACTCCCTTCAAATGTATCAAGGAGATAGCCTAGACCCTAATTTTTATCTTATTTAAAGGCAAGTGTAAGGCACTGTGTTCCAGATGTAACTCGATTGGTCACACTGCTCGGCTTTAAACAAACTACATTTTATTCTTACATCTAAAACACAAATAAAGAAAGAAGAACTGGTATAACTTTAACTCTATTGGAAAAACTTAACAGATTAATAGATTATTTAATCCTACCAAACAGCAACTGTTCCAATATTGTAACACCCCATAAACACACACTTGGCAAAGGCAAATTCAGTGAAATAGATTGTCTCAGATGCAATGTTTCTCCAGTCCAGGAGGAAAGAAAGAAAATTCTGGCACAGAGAGAGAACTCAAGCATTTTGCTGTAGCAGGGACAGATGCATGGCATCTTCAAAACACCAATAATTACTGAAAGCTAAACTAAAACCCTGCCTCTATGGGAGCCTGATTCCAATCATTTATGCTGCTTCTATTGTTCCAACTTAATAAAACCTCCAAGGCCTCACAAGCTGTTTACTTTAACAGCTTGGAACAGACTGCGTAATACCTCTGTTTCAACCTCTCTTCATAAAAAAAAACCAGGACAAAATACACCTCTCAAAACCATAGTATTGACACACTATCACTGACAGATGCATCTGAGGCTGGAAGATTGGTGAGGATGAGGTCAAGTATGCTTTTAATCCCTGCTGGTTCCTTCACCACCTGCCACAGACCCAGTCTAACAGCTGTGCTGCTGCCGAGCCATTCTTGATCATAGACATTGAAGCCTTCCACCAGAGAACACTGCACAGCCTTGTCACCTTCAGTGCTTCCTTCAAGTTCAACATAGAGAAATGCTGATTAATTTAGCTGTGTGTGTGTGTGGGTGGGTGGTGACGCGGTACATATCTGCACATTTCCTTGCCCATGTTTGACCTAATGCCATTAGACTTCATGGGGTCGAATGTCACTATTGAGGACTCTCAGGGCAACTCCTTCCTGACTGAATTTTAAAATTAAGTCTTTAACTGACTCTCACTGATGTAGCAATCACATCTCTTATTTTCAGCACTATCCAAAGCCCTTTTATTTTATTCCTGTCCTTTCGAACAGGCCTCATCCAACTCCCAAGTACAAATCCCACTTGCCCCAGAACTAGTCTCCCAATACCCCAGAAATCTAAAGCCTCCTGCAATATTTCTTTAACCACCTCCATATTTGTTCAAAATTCCTATTTCTATTGTTAATAGCACATGGTACTGGAAGTAACCCTGTGATTTCTGCTTTTCAATCAACTTCCTAGCTCCCTAAATATTACCTTTGCGACCTCATCCCTCTTCCTATCTATGCCGTTGGTACCAAAGTGGACTATAACCCTTGACTGTTGATCCTTCCTCAGAGGAATGAGTGACATGTGTGAATCTCTCAGCAGGGAGGCAACCATCTCCCACTCACACTTACAGCTGCAGAAAGCCTGGCTGTTCCGAAAATTATCAAATCTTCTACCAGTATTGCCTTTCCACTCTTCTCCATCTCTCTCCCTAAGCCACTAGGGCAACTGTGTCACCTGTGCTGTCATAACCTTGAATGGTACTGCAAATGTTAAACAAATAATGAAGATTGGAGTACACATTGTTATCTTTTTGTAGCAATGATATGAATTAGTGACAGGACATTTCAGGCTGGGTGCAGTAGGCACATCGCTCATGGGCCTCAGCTCCAATATTTCCACTCTACAACTGCCCGCACTACCTCTGTGTGGGAAAGTTTATGAAATTAATGCTATTGTTAAAAACTACTCATAATGATCAACTCTTTCAGTCTGCACCATCTACCTGCAGTCAGTCTGTTCTGGGATTCAAAGCCAGGATTTCAGACAAAGAAACATTCAATTCAATGTGCCACACAACTTTTCCCTTAAACTATTCAAAAAGAAATCAGAACTAGTGAAGCAGCGACTTCTCATAAGATCCACAACAAGTAATTTTTATCAAGTAGCACCAAAGCACAAGTTTGATATGAGGCATGATCCCTGCAATAAATTAAGAGCACGTGTAGCCTGAGCCACTGCCTAATTGCATGCATCTGACATTCTGATTTAATTCCTGTCTTAATTTAGAATGTAAAGATAACTGATAGAGATGAACATTAAGTCTGTGAAATAAACTATCTACTCTTTGCAATCCCTCTCTGACTTCTTAAGGAAACTATTTGCACTAATAGATAACTTTCCCCTGTGGAGCTGATGAACTTCCTTTTGTCTATAGCATGCGAGTTTCCAAATCACAAAGCTGAGGTTGCTGCGGAGATAAATTACTGCTCAAGTACTGGGCGCTTAAAACTACAGAGTCATGGAACAATGTATAATTGCTTTCTGAAAATAACTCAAAAGATCGATGGCAGGAAGTCATCAAAGTAATGCTACTGAATAGCTGATAAAGCCCACATACATGAGTAATAACACCAAGGTTTGCAGGTGTGAGAGCAAGAACAGATTTTCATGGCCCCATATTGCTACATCTCAATGCAACCAGTGGCAGTACGGCATTAGCATGGATCTTAGAATCTCTACAGTGTTTATACAGGCCATTTGGCCTATCGAATCCACAGTGACCCACTGAAGAGCATCCCACCTAGAGTTCCCTCCACTTTCTAACCCTGTAACCTCGCATTTTTCATGACTAACCCACCTAGCCTGCACATCCCTTAACGCTATGCGAAATTTATCATGGCTAATCCACCTAATTTGGACTGTGGGAGGAAACCGGAGCATCCAGAGGAAACCCAAGCATAATGAGGAAAATGTACAAACTACACACAGACACAGCCCGAGGGTGGAATTGAAATGGGTCCCTGGTGCTGTGAGGCACCAGAGCTAACTACTGAGCCACAGTGCTGTCTAAGCCACTGACTCTTAGCCTTTGTTTCTCTGAGGACTGAACTCGGGACGTTCAGATTATGAGACTGATGGAGGGATTGTCTAATGATCAAAGGCTAAACAGATTGGGACTCTATTCACTGGGAGTCTAGAAGAATGAGAAGTGATCTCATTCAAATGTACGGGAATCTTAAGGGGCTTCACAGTGTAAATGCTGAGAGATTATTTCCACTCATGGGACAGTCTAGGGCCAGCATACACGCAGAATAAAGGGGGGCCAATTTAAGACGGGAAGAGGAGGAATTTCTTCTCTCAGAGGCTTGAGAGACTTTGGAACTCCTTGCCACAAAGAGCAGTAGGGGCAGAGTCCTTGTGTATTTTTAATGCTGAGATAAATAGATTTGTGATCAGTAGGGGAATTGAGGGTTATGAGAAAACGCAGGAAAGTGGATGTGAGGAATGTTGGATCAGCCAAGATCTGACTGAATGGCAGAACAGGCTCGAGGGGCTGTATGCTTACCCATTTCCTATTTCTTCTGTCTTAACAAAGTACGTTCAAAATCTAATAAAGCACTTCAATGAATTAATGAGGTGGTAAGTTATACATCAACTGTTAGAATCCATTAACTGTTTCTTTGAACCCCTCAAGTTTTTTCCATACCAGACAGCATTCTACAGGCTAAATGGTCACAAGACAATGCTTCTTCAGT